ACGGAGAGCTCGGGGCTTGTCTGCGCGCGCAGTGCAGCAGACGCCGCCGGGCCGGGGGTGAGTGCGGGTCCCGGGAGCCAACGCCAACGGGCTGCCTGTGCAGCAACTCCTGCAGCAGGCCTGGGTGCGCGCGGTGCATTGAATGCAGCGGCTCATGCACGTGCACGCGCAGTGCGATAAACAATTGCAGCCGCTGCACCGTGTGCAATACAGCTCGCTGCCCAATAACGCCCTCACGTGAGCCCACGAGCACCATCGCTGTTATAAGTGCAAATGCAACCAGCCAATGCAGCCTGTGAGTGTAGCGTGTCTGTGTCTCCGTTTCATGCGGTCTGCCAAATAAATCTCTGTGTGAGGCTGCAAATCTCTGCTGGATAAAACGCACCTCGTGTACGTGGACTGCAACCTCCCGGGCAAATGCAAACATCGCTTTCTGTGTGTGTGTGTGTGTGTATAAACAGCGCGACTGTGTTTAAATCCACGGACTGGAGTCACTGCGACATCTGCGTGCTGGCTGCCAAACGCCGGCCTGTCCCGTGCAATCGCTGTGTCTCGTGTCATGCTACAGCAACCCCCAACTCGGAGCCAGAACGCGCCGTGAATGAAATCCTCCCCCCCCCCCCCCGTTCGTGTGTGTGCCGGATGCACGCGGCTGCACTGCACAACTACAAGTGACACAAGCCACGCCACAATCTCCCGCCTGGGCACAAACGGCGCTGCTTGAACCCCGCCAGCCCGTGCAACGTTTTCCCATTTGTTTATAAGAAACCCCCGCGGGGCGACGCAGGGGGGGGGGCTCCACTCCCACGCGAACCCGCTTTCCCTCTTTTTATTGGGGTCCGAATCTCAGCGCTGCTGAGAGCCCAAAATTACCCCCTCCCCCGCCCGCCTATGTGGCCAGGGGGTCGTGCTGGGGCGCACGGATGGGGAGGGGGGTCAACCCCCCGTCCACACTCTGCCACCTGCCCGCCCGCAGCAACGCGCCCAGCACCGGCCCCTCCCCCTCCCGCGAGCTCTGGAAGCGGAAGGAAGAGGAGGCGGAGGCTCCGCCCCACTTTTGAGGTCACCCCAGCCTGCCCCGGTTACCGTTTCCATGACTATCCCGGGGGCCCATGACGACAGGGGGCGGGGCCCGAACGCGGCGCGCACCAACGTTCCAAAAAGGGGCTACGTTTGCAGCCGCCTCGCTTCCTCTTTCCGTATAAGGGCAGAGGCTGGCAGGCCCCGGTGTGGCCTATGGGGAGCGTCCTTCCGGGATCCTACCGGGAAAAACCCATCGGCTCGCGCGGCAAATCCCTCCCCCGCAGCCCGTCTGTGTGCACAGCACGTGGGACTGCACCCATCCCCCCAGCCTGGCGCCCCCAGCCACCCACCACCTGCCTGTCACCCCCACAGCCCCCCAATCTCCCCCCAGCCACCCACCACCTGCCTGTCACCCCCC